TCACCCAGTTCAGGGCCTGGCACAGAGCAGATGTTTATTGACTAAGTGGACAAAATTATTTGGGAGGACATTTCTTGATGACTTCTGGGGTCCCAGAGCAATTGAACCATCTCTCCTAGGGGCTCTCCCTTTATATCTCTCTTATGATGATGCTTGCCTGAGCATTTCCATCTCAGCCTGATAATTCAAGATAATTTCATCTCAAAATACTTAATTTAATCATCACATCTTTAAAAAAATCTTTGTTTTTCGTTCCCCAAGTAAGGTCACTTTTATAGGTCCCAGGGTTGGGCTGTGGATATCTCTGGGAGAGTCACTTTGCAGCCTACCACAAGAAAGATAATAAAATCTTTCTTAGAGTAGTCACTCCCTCTCAAGCCAAATTTCCCTCAGAATCTGACCCCTGTGAAAAATGTCCTGTCTGTCTTCTTCTTCTTTTTTTTTTGCCTGCTCTATGGCCCGAAGGGATCTTAGTTTCTCGACCAGTGATCAAACTCCTGCAGGAGGATCCTACACATGGATCCTCCTGCAATGGAAATGCGGAGTCCTAACCACTGCACTGCCAGGGAAGTCCCAAAACACGTCCTCTCTTTTCCCTCTAGATTCACTCTCTGCTCTGCTCTAGGTGGGGGTGTGTGGATTACATCCGTTGGGACTCCCTTGCCTTCTGCCTTCCAGCTGGGTTCAGCCATGGGAGGTGTTAGCAGAAAACTGGAGGGAGGAAAAGAGCAGGTGGATATTGACTCTCCTGACTAGCTCCCAGCTGAGCTGGCAGCAGTGATGTTGCAAGAATCTATGTCAGGGGACTGGAAATCACTCCCTCCCAGGTCCCTTCTGGAGGAACGGTGGCAGTTTCGGGCTGTTGGCTGGGCCGAGGGTGCTGCCCTCTGTTGGTTTCACTTAGCTATGCACCCGCATCTTGTACAGTTGTTGCTTCAATAAATCCCTTGCCCCATCTGATCATTTGGTCTCCCTAGAAGATCAAGAGGATCGTGGCTGATGCAGTCACCTGGTCAAGCCTACGCTAGTCCTCAGCGAGAGGACTGCAGGCTGTTTAAGGTCAATCAAGAATGACGTTGATGGAGGGGAGGGGGAAGAAGAATTCCGGTAGTTAGGACTCCATGTTTCCATTGTGTGGGTCACAGGTTCAATCCCTGATCCCTGATCCAGTTCCCAGAAAGCCAAAAATAAAAAATATATAAATTATTTTTTACTAAAAGAGTAATGTGGGGAAGGGACTGTGCCAAAAAGAATGACCTGAGACATTTTTGTTGGGCTGCCCACAACCGTGTCTCCTTTAACCATTTTAGTGATAGGGCCTTAAAATAGAGCTTCCTCTCTTATTCGACAGTTCACACGTTAGAAAAAAAATTTTTAATGATGATAAATTGATTTAATAATGAGTCCTTATGTTATGCCAGGGATTGTGTCTTGGTACTTGACATGATTTAACACATTTAATTCCCACTACCTCCCAATGGGGGCAGGATATTATAATTTATTTTACTGATTGGAAACTAAAAGCTTAACTGACTTGCCCCGGGTCATGCAGTCACTAAGTGAGCATTGGTTGAGATTCCAAGATCTCTCTGACCTCAGAGCTCGCATTTTCAACCATGACTGTCATTCTTTCTCAGACTTGAGATACTTCTGTCTATCACATGAGATGCTAATCTCTTGGCATATATTGTTTCTAACTTATGGAAGAATCTCTTTACTTGAATACATGTCACCATCATCTCTCACCCAAACTCCCTCATCTATTCTTAGGTACTCTAGGGAGCTCTCCTCTTCTGAGGCCTGAACTTTTAGAAACATAAATCTGAGCAGTTGTATCTTTGATTAAAACTCTGAAATGACTCCCTGTGTATCTTATAGAAAAATCCAAATGCTTAAAGATTTCATAGACACCAAAGGCCCTGGTCCCAATCGGACAGTCTAACCTCACTCCCAGCCATCCCTCTGAGGAGTTCTGGACTCCAGCACACTGGCCTTCTTTCTGTTTCTCAAACTTTAATAACCAGCATCCTCCCCAGACTGAAGTTCCTGGGAGGACAGGAGCCTGTGGCTCTGTATCCACAATATTGGCAAATAACAGGCGACTAGGAAACACCATCTGTGTAGAATGAGTAGACGAATGAATGGCTGCAGGGATGAATAAATGAATCTTTCAAAGAGAGGTATCCTTAAGTTCTTTTCTTTAAAAAAAAATTTTTTTTAATTTTTATTATTTATTTATTTGACTGCGCTGGGTGTTAGTCGAAGCACATGGATCTTCTATCTTTGCTGGGGCATATAGGATCTTTAGATGTGGCATTCGAACTCTTAGTTACGGCATGTGGGCTCCAGTTCCCTGACCAGGGATCAAACCCGGACCCCCTGCATTGGGAGCAAGGGGTCTTAGTCACTGGACCACCAAGGTAGTCCCCTTAAGTTATTTTCAGATGAAGAAATCTAGAGGCCAGGCAAGGTAAATATATTACGACAAGTCACTCAGCAGATAAATGTCCCATCTGGGTATCAAATTCAGGTCCAAGTTCAAAGTCAGGCTTCCTCCACTCTCCCTATCTCAGAATGATTGCTCTCACTAGTAAGTGTAACACCACTTAATAAATGAAAATGAACTGACACCAGGAGAAAAGACTACCACCAGAAACATGGGATTTGCAAACATGGGGACACACAAATAGCAGGACCCAGAGTATTATAACTGTGAACTTTGGCATCTGTGATCCCCAGATCCCTCAGAGAATGAGACTTGCTTGGGTGTGGAGAGCCAAGAGTGACAGACTCATAGAATCCCCCAAAGACATTGAAGGTTCAAATCAGAGGACCAGCCCTATAATGGTTAGAGGAACCCACGCAATTATGTAAGACTGGTTTCTGGTATGTGGGGGTCAGTGACCAAAGCAACCCAGCAATCAAGTCTTCTACTGACCATCCGAGATGATATTCTGTGGCTGTGCATCCCACAGAAATGGATGTATCCAGGGAATGTGTTCTAGTCTTGGGGAAGAACTAGTGTCTCTTGCACCCACTGTGGGTGGGTCAAGGTTCAGTCGATGGTGGCAGAGAAGCCATCTGCTGCTGTTCTATCCACTCCAATATTCTTGCCTGGAGAATTCCAGGACAGATGAGCCTGGTGGGCTACAGTCCATGGGGTCGCAAAGAATTGGACACAACTGAGTAACTAGCACTTATTTTGGGCTTCCCATGTGGCATTGTGGTAAAGAACCCACCTGCCAATGCAGGAGACTTAAGAGATTTGGGTTCAATCACTGGGTCGGGATGATCCCCTGGAGGAGGGCATGGCAACCCACTTCAGAGTTATTGCCTGGAGAATCCCATGGACAGAGGAGCCTGGCGGGCTACAGTCCATGGGGTCGCAAAGAGTCAGACACAACGGAATTGACTTAGCAGCACAGTAACAGTAAGGCAAACTCCATCAATAGATGCTAAAACAAATGGGTCAGAGTTTGAGAAGTAATAGGATTTACATGGTATCAGTCTACCCACATCCTTATTTACTCCAAAGAGAAAAATAGTAACTGTACAGTGGAGAAACTTCGCAGGCACCATCTGAAAAAATAAAAATAAGAAAAACAAGAAGTTGTTAAATTCTGGAGGATATCTTATCTTAGAACACAGCCCTACTTTCACTGGCTACCTCTCAAATACACGATAGCTACATGTGATCTGGAGACCATACTGAACAGCTCAGCTTAAATGGACCTCACTGTTCGAGATTTCTCATCCTATATAGTAATAAATGTTCTCATTATTAAGGCATTTTTAGTTAATATTACTTTACTTAGAATGCATTCTAGGAAATTCCCTGGTAGTTCAGTGGTTAAGACTCTGTGCATCCAATGCAAGGGGTGCGAGTTTGATCTCTGATTGGGGAACTAAGGTCCTACATGCTGAGTCATGGCTAAAAAAAACCCCAAAAAACTAATAAAAATAAAAAAATTAAATAAAATAAATTAAAAAGAAGGGGTTTAAGAAAGAATGCTTTCTAGTGACACTGTCACACCATCACGTAGGTACTGTGGGAGGATCAATAATGTCCCCCAAAGATGCCAACCTCCCATCCCTGACCTATGAATAAATCCTATTACACATGCAGGTGTAATTAAAGGATCTGAAGATGTAATTAAGATTTATGGACTTTGAAATAGAGAGATTATTCTGGATTCCCTGAGTAGACTCAATCTACACACACGTTCTTAAAAGCAGGGAAATTTCTCAGGCTGAAGATAGAAGAGAAATGTGGAAAAGGGAGAAATGAGAGGACTGCAAGCATAGGAAGGATTTGACTCACGATTGTTGACTCTGAGATCTAGGGTCCTCCTTAACGGACCAAGAGCTAAGGATGGGCCATCACAGCAAAGGAAATGGAACCTTAGTCTGACAACCATAAGGAACAGAATCCTGCTGAAAACTTAAATGAGTTTGAAAGGGGGTCCTTTCCTGAGCCTCTGAAACTATCCAGCCAGCCACACTTTGACTTAGCCTGTGAGACCCACAGCAGAGAAACTACCCAAGCCCACCCAGATTCCTGACCTGTATAAGTGTGAGATAATGAATTTGTGCTCTGTGGAGTCTTTCAATTTGTGAGAATTTGTTGTGCCAGCAAAAATAAGAAATAAAAAAAATTCACATACACAAACACACAGACCCACACCAGAGGAAGTATCATTTTTTCATTGTTTATTTGTACACTTTTTATAAAAAGTAGAAAAATAAACATACTGGGTCTGAGTTTGGGAAATGTCATCCATAAATAAAGAAATAATTATTTGGAGGTAATAAATTAAAAAAACTCCATGGCTAATTCATATCAATGTATAACAAAAACTACTGTAATGATGTAAAGTAATTAGCCTCCAACTAATAAAAATTTAAAAAAATAAAAAAAAAAAAAAAAAAAAAAAAAAACTGGTTTTGATGCATAAAAATTATCTAAAAAGGTGGGACAGGTTGCAGGTGGGCCTCCAGGGTCAGACACACTGGTCTCCAATGGCAACACATTTCAGGTCCTGGGTGAGGAGGCGGAAGAGGTTGAGCATCACAGAGGCTTCGAGGCAGTCCTGGGACTCCTGAGGGGAGAGAGGGATGGTTCAGTATCTCCCACGCCTGGGATCCCAGCTGCCCCAGACATCAGTCTGGCTTCTCCGCTCACTCACCTTCTTCTGGGCCTCCTGGAGCCGGTGCAGCCAGTGGTGGAGGCGGCCCCGGGGCCTGGGGCTTGCTGTGGGCTGAGCTGGGACCTGTGGGCAGAGGAGAGAGGGGTGAGGCTGTGAGGTGGAGCCGGGGGCCGAGGGGGACGTCCGAGTGGTCAGAACCCAGACCCGGCCAGGGGCCCCAGCACTTACACAGGCCTGGAGCTTGGAGTGGATGTGCCGCAGCGTGAGAAGGGGCCGCTCCAGGCTGTGGTCCAGGGATGAGTTAGCCATGGCCTCCAGGACCGTCAGTGTCAGGGCCAGCTCTGCCTTCAGAGCCACAGGGCGCTCCCACACCTGAGGAGGAGACAGAAGACATGTGAGAGCTGCATGTGAGAGAGGGACAGGTGAGGGGACAGGTGAGGGGGGACAGGTGAGGGGGTCAGGTGAGGGGACAGGTGTGGGGACAGGTGTGGGGGCAGGTGAGGGGGCAGGTGAGGGGACAGGTGAGGGGACAGATGAGGGGGTCAGGTGAGGGGGACAGGGGAAGGGACAGAGGAAGGGAAAGTCAGGGTCAGGTGAGAGACACAGTCCGCGTGGCTGGCTGAGGGGAAGCGCAGGGGAGGACAGGGAGAGAAGGACACGTGAGAGGAGGGAGGGGCACCTGCAGAGCCAGAGCGGGTGAGGGCAGGTGGGCCTGACTCTCCCAACTCACCTGCAGGTGCTTCAGGTCCCGGGTCCTGGGGAACAGGCGGGCGCTGCAGTTCCAGTCCTTCTGCAGGAGCGAGTCCTCCTAGAGAGCAAGGGCAAGGTCAGATCACAGCGGGAGGGACGGAGGGGGGACCCCGGGGAGACCCGAGGACGGCCAACAACAGAGGAGGGGAGGTGAACTTCCCAAAGGATGGTAGAGGCTCATCCAGGNAGAGAGCAAGGGCAAGGTCAGATCACAGCGGGAGGGACGGAGGGGGGACCCCGGGGAGACCCGAGGACGGCCAACAACAGAGGAGGGGAGGTGAACTTCCCAAAGGATGGTAGAGGCTCATCCAGGGCAGGACAGGCGATCGCCCACTGCAGGGAGCAGGGAGGCCAGCCCCGTGAAGGGAGGGCAGGCCCGCCTGCAGCCCAGGCTCCTAGGAGCCCACAGGAGGGGGCTGGGGGCTCACCCACCGCAGGAGGGGTGGGCGGACTCACAAAGGCATCCTTGGCCGTCTTGAAGGCCTGCAGCTCTTGCGGGGACAGAGACTTGAACTCGGCCACGTGGCAGCCCCTGGCAGGAGGGACGGCCCTGGGGGCAGAGGGCGCGGGAGCTGCCCCTGTCCTGCTCAGCGCCGCGGTCAGCAGCATCAGCACCAGCACCAGCGTGCAGCCCGGGGCCATGTCTGCTTCAGGAAGGATAGAGAGGTGAGGGGGGAAGGGCGTCAGGGAGTGAGGGTGCAGGCTGTGGGGAGGCGAGGGTCCCAGACAATGGCGTGGGGGCTCACCCAGCTTCATTCCTGCTCTCTGGTCTCTGTCCGAACGGGGCATCAAGTGTCCACTCTGAGGCTGTTGCCTGGGATCTCAGTCTTGTCTGGCGTCTCTGACTTCAGACTCCTCTTCTGGATCTCAGCTTGTTGCTCCGTTTGTCTCTGAACTTCCAGCTCCGTCTGAGGTGTGACTGCTGCCTGAGCTCCATGGTGCAGCTTTTAGCCTGTGCAGCCGGGCAATCCCAGCTGATGTACGAAAAGTGAAAACCCAGCTACAGGCTAACACTGGGAAAGCCCAGAGCAGGGCGGAGCCAGTGAGCCAGGTGAGCAACTTAGCGAAAGAGAAACTGACGTTGATTTGTGCTCACCTCCGAGGAAGTGAGTAATGAAGACAAAGTCAGGACTGGAGTAGCTTCAGCCCCACAGGGGCGGGTCTCCTGCAGAGACCAGGTTGATTTAGGACTGGGCAGGGAGGGGATAGAGGGATTTTCTTTTCTGCAGATGCCCCAGTGCAGGGAATAGAAGGAAAAGGCACTTGTAGAAGCTGTTACCTTGAACAACCTGGACCTTCCAAGAGGGAGGCTGTTCAGAGGATGAGAGAAGATCCAGGGGTGCTGTTGAGGGTGGGGAGAGGGGGTCAGAAAGGCAAAAACACTCTAGAACTAAGAGAGGAGACCAGCTCCTCCCAACCTACTAATAGTGACAGAATGGGGGAGGGGTGGAGTCTGCACTAACCTGTTCTCTGATTGTCAGGCACAGAGTGACCCAGGAATAGGATATGCTATGAAATTGGGATGTGACTAAGACTTCAGAGAAATCAGCTGGGTTTGAGAAGAATGCCTTCATTCACTAAGTAATTATTTATTCCCCACTTTGGGTCAGACCGTTTTTAAGGTGCCAAGAAAACAGTATTGAAAAAAATGAAAGACATAAAATAATCCTTCATGAAGCTATTTACAAGAAAAAGGTACCAGAGAGTATGGGATGGGGGATTAGGCATGTGGGATGTATTATGTCAGATAACATCAGATAATGGAAAATGAAAGAAATGAACCAGGGTTGAGAGCAGAGTGGAAGGGAAAGTTTGCATTAAATAAGGTAATGAAATGACACTTGAGGGCAAACCTAAAGGAAGTGAGGGAGGAGCTCTGTGGAGATCTTAGAGGGAGCCTTCTAAGAAAAGGGAACAGTCAGTGCAAAAGGAAAAGAGAGAGAACCTCCTCCTTTTGTGAGCCTGTCTATGTCTCTGCTGCAATGTGGTCTTGAATACTCGTGATAGCACCAAAGACATCCATGCTTACCTACATTTTAAATACTGAAGACACTGCAGGGACTCAGAAAGGTTAAGAAAGTTGTTCAAGGTCACACAGCAAATAACTAGTGAGGGCAGGATATGAACTGAGTTTTGTCTGACAGCAGACAAGTAACTACTGCACTCAACAGCCCCAGTGTGGCTAGATCTGGACTTAGAGGGAATGGATTTCTCCAACAGAAAGTGTGGAGTCCTGGAGAGGGTGGACCACTGTCCTCATCTGGGAATATCTATGAGCTCCAATGCATAATCATGTTTCCAAAGCAACCACAGGGATGTGCCTTGGGCACCTACCAGTGTTCTGGCCAGTTTCTGTCAATTGCACGCACCTTATATCAGGGGAGAAGATATCCCTACAACAGTGAATCATGAAAATTGACTGTTTATCTGAAAATTCCTAAATACTGTTTCTCTTAGAAAGGAAGTTCAGGGGAGTGGTTAGGAGCATTGGAGCTGGAGGTAAATATTCTGAGTTCAAACCTGGTTCTGATCACTAGCTATGTGACCTTGGGAAACAGTCTTTGCACTTGGCTACAATGGTTGCCCATCCACAGGTCAGGACAAATGAAAGAAGTATAGTTTTTGTGCGTTTATGTGTGTGGTGATTTAATGGAGACCAGTTATTAAGGCCATTCTGTGACTTCAGCTGGAAGCTTCAGAAACATTATCTCAATGTATATTACTCACTGCAAGAGAAGTGCAATAATGTCATGGCATAGATGAAAAAACTGAGGCTAAAGAGAAGCAATTTGTCCAGACACACAACTATAAAGTGGCAAGGACAGAACCAAAACTCAAGTCACCTGATTTCCCTGTCTCAGCATTTTGTGATCAACAGCCCCCCCTCACAATGATCACAGGAGAAACAACCAACAGAAATGCAAAAAAATATTTAATAATTGGCAATAAATTAACAACAGAAGACAGAATAGCAAATATACACAGAAACTTCAATACAAAACACACAAGTTATGGAATTAAAAGAAAAAACAAAAAACTGCTTCTCAGGATCTTTGGCCCCTTCACTACCCAGTCTGTCAGGGAATGAGGCCTCTCCAGGGGGGAGCTCCAAAACTCACAGATTCATGGACTCTCAAGGTGACCACTGAAGGTTCAAAGTTGGAATTGGAACCTGTCATGGGACAGGGGTTCCTGTAACTACAGAAGTAAAAACTGGTCCAAGAATCACAGATTCATGGAATCTCAAGGCGACCACCAAAAATTCAAAGCTGGAATTGGAACTTGTCACGGGACAGGGGTTCCTGTAACTACATAAGTAGAAACCGGTCCATGGTCCGTGGTGGTGGTCAGCGACCAAGGCAGACACGGACTCCAGTCTTTTCCTGGGAGGTTCTTAGGGCAACGCATCCAACGGGAATACCGCTGGTTTCAGGGAAATCCTCCGGTCTTTAGGGAAAGGGCGCCTCTGGCACCAGCGCAGGCGGCTGAGAGACCCCCTGGGTCAGTGTACCCTCGGAGGAGGGCGACGCCCGCAGCCAGGCGCCCTGAGCGCTCCGGGTCCAGGCGGAGCGGCGGCGGCATCACAGACAAGGCCCCGAGTGCGCCACCAGCCGCAGGTCCCACGCGAGCAGGTGCAGGAGGTGGAAGATGACGGTGGCTTCGTGGCACCGAGGCGAGTCCTGCAGCCCGGGAAGGAGGCAGAGCGAGGCTGAGTCAGGAATCTCCTTCCCGAGAGACCCCCCGCTCCGGACCCTCCGGGCTACTAGCCCGGCCCCCGCCCCGTCTCCACCTCCCGCGGTCCTCCCGGTCCAGCCGCGCTCGCGCCGGCTCCACTCACAGCTCGGCGAGTCTTGGGACGCCTCCCGGGCCGCGGCGGGGGCCTCCTCCAGGAGCCTGGCCGGGCCAGCCCGAGCTGGAGCGGGGAAGGAGGTCAGCGAAGGCGGTGGAGACCCGAGCCGCCCCTTCCCTCCCCGGTGACTCGGGCCCTCTCCCTTCCGGCGGCCGCAGAGCAAAGCCGGGAAGCTGCGAATCGCGTCCGTGCCCGTTTCCGGGCTCAGGGGGACAGCTTCGCAGTGCGGGTCGTGGCCCTGAGACCAGGGGCGCAGAGCGAGGCGGGAAAGGCGCGGGGCCAGGCCGCAGAGCACTCACGCAGGCCGCCACGTCCCGCCCCGCGGCCGCCAGCAGCTCCAGGGTCTGCCCGACGCCGGGGAAGAGCTCAGGGCTCGGCAGGCTGCTCAGCACGGCCTGGGCGTCGGCGAGGTCGCGGGCCACCCGGCGGAGCATCGCACAGGACTGCGGGGACCCGGCTGGAGTTAGACGGGGCGGCGCCCGAGCCTCCCCCCACCACACACACAAGCCCGCCGGCCTCGGGCCTCACCGACGGCCGGGGAGGGTTCCTCTTCTGGCGGATCGAGCAGTTTTGGGGCCCCCAGCTCAGCATCTCTTTTTCCTGCGGGACAAGAGCTGGGGTGAAAACAGGGCCTCCTGGCCAGGGCCCCTGGAGCACTGGGGACGTCGAGGATTCCTGTACGTGGATCAGGACTGGTCCGAACGGCGGTGTTTTTCGTGTCCCGCACCAGGCTGCGCTCTAATGAGTGAGCGGAGCTGTAACGCTCCCGCCTTCCCGGTGCGGAGCCTGCGCCTCGACGTGGAGTTAAGTCCGCCTGGAGGGGGCGCCCCACTGTGACCCTCACCAAGGCCGTATATGAGCCGACCACGGGACCCCCGGGAAGACGTCAGAGTCACAGTTGTAGACCCTGAAATCAGAGATGTGCCTGCTGGACGCTAGAATATGGGCGCCCCTCGGGCCAAAGACTGGTGTCTCTGAGTCTGGAGGGACCAGGGCTGGGGGATGCGGGGGGGCAGGGCCTCTGAGCATCACTCACATAGTGGGCCCTCAGCACCTTGACAGCCAGCAGCGCCCGGGGGTCCAAGGAGCGATAGTGTGAGAGGAGGCAGCGCCGGGCTCAGTCACGTGGGGGTACGCCACCACACCCAGTCTCCGAAACCCACAGCCGGAGGGATGTCAGCGAGCCCAGAGAGAAGGCCCTGAGTCCAAGCCCCTGCCTCTGGTTAGACTGGCACAAGGACGGCCCCTCACAGCGTGGACGCTGATCACGCCCAGGGGAAGAGGCAGGGAGGGTCCTGACACCCCTCCTACCCTCAGCCTCTCTCCCCGCACTCCTCACCTGCACTGTGTCTTGGGATCCTGGCACTGCAGCAGGGCCTGTCTTCCACTGGCCTCTGGGTGGTGTCCAGAGTGGTGCCCACCTGGGTCGGCGGTGCCTGCACCCTCCATGGTGGCTTTTAAGTGTTTTTAACCGGGACCAGTGAGCAACCGGGCTTCCCCGGTGCAGAGTAAGCTTTCCCAACGTCAGTGCTGGCCGCTGGCCAGTGTGTGTGGACTTCTACCCTCCTTGGGCCAGTGCCAGCAATGACTCTGCCTGACACTCGCTCCTGAGCCAGTTGCTACTGTTTGCTTTCTGGACTCTGTCTTTTCTGTATGTTGATCTTTCTTTTGCTCTCTAGCGATGAACTGAAAACACACCTTTGCCTTCAACTGGGAGCTGCAAGCTTGGCAGAGGTACCAATACAAGTGCCTGCACTCCAGGAGCTCATACTAGGGTTTCTAATGCTTGCTC